TCAAATTATTTTAAATTATTAAAAAATTTACTCTAGGATGTTATATGCTTGTGCTTAATTTCTAAGAAGTTGTGGGATGGGAAACAAAAAATGATAAAGTTGGTAATGACCAGTAAGAAAGAGGGTTTTAAAAGGTGCCCTTCTAGGATTCATTACATTGTGGTCAATAATTCACATTCTGGCTTGGAATCACAGGATCCAGCTAGAGTAGTAGCATTGTTTCATTGTTTATTTCCTCTGGATGTTCTCATCATGGACACAGAAAATACTGATGATGAAAAACAATAAAACAAGAAACTTGTACTTCTTGTACTCTACATGAGCCTAAACAATATGCTTGTAGTAAAGCCAACAGCCAACATACATTCTCTTAAAAGTAGTACCACAAGTCACAGTTAACTTGTGGACATCAGTCTGAATTTAAAGAGTGAATAGAAAAGCTACACTTGAACTTTTAACAATGAAATAAATAAGTAACATATATTCAGTGATGTAAAATGACTTAGCTGGTGAATCAAGCAGCAGCAGCAGGATGAGGTACAGCCAGCAGTTCTTGGGAGCAGCACCAACCGCCTCAGAACAAGGCCAAAAAGAACAGCAGCTACTTGGACACAACTTGATTTTCAAAAATGCAATCACAGATCTTTACACCACCCGGTAAAGTACTAAGCAGGTTATTAAATACTGAACTGTTTGAGATTTCTTCATGTGAACCCCAGAGCAGAAATCTGTTTCACATGAACTCTCCACCCACTCCCTCCCTCTGGCCTGAAACTGGAAAACTCATCCCAGAGACGCTGACACTTGCACATTAGCCAGTCAGCTTGCCTGTCACTCAAAGACAGCCTCTTCCTCCCCAGCCTCATCTTCTCTGTTCAGTGTATTTTCTACTCCCACAAAGGGCAGACGGTATCCTGAGCAAGGGTTGCCCCAAACCATACGAACCTCAACACTTGTCAGTCATACATTCACATGAAATGCAGAATTTCACACTCCTCTTAACACATACTCCTTTGAAATGCAGTGGTACTGAGCAGAGCAAACATCAGATCTAATCAAAAGAACATTCCGCAATATAAAACGTTAAAACAAAAAAATCTTTTCCCGTTTTTAGTCGTCTTTAATAAAACACATCATGGTCCTGAATTTCCTAACTAGGAAACTGTCTTTGCCAGGCAAAGAACAAAACATTGCCTTCACTTGTGTGCTTTATGAAGAAACTTGCTATACTGCCAGTGAAGCTGAATTTCCTGGGTAGTAACTGCAACAACTTTTATATTCTTGAGGTAAATAGTATCTCTTTAAAGCACTGTCAAAATTCTTATATATACAGCTTGTTTCCTGTAAATCAGGGGCAAATGTACAGCAGCTTTATATTTATATAGTTGCACTGAATTCTCAAGGTCTTTTAATAGATGCATCGACAAAGAGTTTGAGGAAAAGCGGAATCATCTAAGAATGAAACAGCTGGAGTCACAGTCCACTAACATCCATACTTTGTATGGCAGGAAGTGAACACTTGGAAGGACATGCCATGTTAAGCAGTCAAACACAAGAATGTAGAGCATTTTAGGGGTGCAAATAAACCCCTGTTCTAAAAAGCATGGCAGAACTGACCTAACATATTGATTTACAAAAAGAGCACCCTTTTATAATACACATTTGAAAAAATGATTTTTATATTCAGTAATTATTGTCTTCAGCATTAGAAAGATAATGAATTTTATTGCAAGACAATTTCTGTGTAGTCTCTATTTTTGGACTCCTGACTAGATCAAACCTAGAATAGCCATAATTAACCTGAAAGCTGGCCCAGCTTTGGCCTGGGTGTTGGACCTTCTAAAGTTGTGAATTACCATAGGATCCTACAATAAGAACCTCTCCATACTAAAATTACATATGCTTGTTGTGCTATTTACATAGAAAATAGGGAGTTTGATAAAAAACCCCAGAGCACCAACTTGCATATTGAATTCAGACAGTTCCAAGGTCTTAAAGATACCAAATGCGAGGCATTCCTTCTGATCATATAAAGCTTATGCTGCTTAAATAACTACAATAAAGCTAAGACTGGTGATTAAAGATACAGAATGCTTTTGTTACACTGCAGATTCTCTTTCAACATTACCTTCCCTTTTACCTAAATCATTGTAGAGATATAGGAGTAAAAACTATTTGTATTAAATTAAATTAGAGTTTAGAGGCATGTATGTGAATTTTAATCTACTACCAATTAAAATGCAGGACAGATTAATAGGTTATACTGTCTGGATGTGAAAAATGCAGCTGAGAATACTGGCTAGAGAAATACACTAAATAAAAACAAAGAACACAAACATGAAATCATTTCCAGTAAACATGGCTGTGAAAAAACTGAGGATTTCAAAAGACGTGGATGAAGTAACAGGTCAATGAACATCACACAGACTCGGTGGTAAAGAGCACTGGTCTGAGGAACCCAGTCCTTGGACATGGTCAGTAACACAGGTAATTTCCATACAATGAAACTTTTTAATAAAATATTTTAAGAGTCAGCAGCAAAAGTGAAATTTCAGGGGAAAAAAACCCTTCAAAATTACCACCTGCATGTTATATGAAATAACTTTGATAAATTTTGGTCCTGTTGATTTGTTACTCTGATTAATCTGATGGTTGATAGTGGCTGTCTCATCACTGTATGCCATACAGGAGTAAATGGGTATCCACATCTCTACACTGAGACAAAATTCACCTCTTTTGATAGCATATGACAAGTTTGACCAATATACATGTTAGAAAAGTTTGTTTATGTAAAAAGATTAAGATAAATTCCTTTAATGAATTCAATAAAGGATTATTTCTCAATATACCTATGTTCTGTGCTTTATGCAATTCTGACACCATAAATGGTATGATCTATTCATGTTTGGTGTCTTTGATTTCAATTTTCCATCTGCTTCAAGAGGTATTTATCTAATGAAGCTCACAGATTCAGAACAATTCTGTAGACTACTTCATTGAAGGGACACACAGAAAACACACTCTGCAATATTTCAGTATTAGCAAATGGTTACCCAAGCCATTCAGTCAATACATTGTTCTACTTCATGGTATGCTCACAAATAGTAAGATTACTAAAGTATTTTGCAAAGCCATGATGAAAAAAATCTGCATCAAGTTCCAAAACTCTAATAAAATCAAATCACAGAAAAACCAAAATAAATGTAAAACCACACCAAATTCTGAAAATTCAACTAATTAGTTAAACTTGTTGAGGAGGGAAGACTTTCGAAATGCAGAAAACTGCAAAGTTAAGTTGCTTTCCTTCTCCCTGAAGCTTCCTTAGCCTTGCTACTCCAGCATTAGGGTCCAAAGGCATCGACCCTCTTGCTGCAAACATCCTTTCTTGAAAACTTGCAAAGACCTTACAAGGAACTCAGAAGTGGAAAGGGGAAAAAGCTTTTATTACCTCCATCATCGTGAAGTATCCCACAGTGTCTAATGCTTACCTGTGCATTACTGTTATTAAATAAATACATTTAGGTCCATTCAATGAATAGTAGGTCTGTTTTTTGAGATGCTAACTAATAAATAAGGAACACCTGAAAGTCATACAGATCAGGACAATAATTCAAATTGCAATGCAGACTATTCATATTTGTGCATATACATGCATGCCCTAATACAGTATTACACCCTCATTGAACTTTATGCAGACAGTATGGAATGTTACTTTTAGTCAGCATTAAAAGGTGATTTTTCCCAGGGTCTCAGAAGTACAACTGCCACTGACTTCAAAACAAAAGGGAAATAGCCTGCAGTTCTGGAAACCCATCAGTCTCTTTTCATCTTGGAAGCCAAACTCTCCTTCTGCAAATTGAGAAAACTATGAAAAACGAGAACAAGTACTTGCACAGGAAGATAGCTAGTTTTATTTGCTGTAATAAATGAAAAAGATCCTTTTTATATCAAGACAGAACATGCCAAGGATGTTCATGCCACTTAACTTTGATTCCAATTTATGTATATGGATGCTGATGCCTAAAGCTGGGTATGAATATTCAGTCTTCATTATAGTAAGTGGTTTTCTTGTATTACATTAGCAGGAAAAGAAGGACCTAATAGCAAAATACTCACTGAAGTAAAATAATTATTATAGCAATGATAGAAGCAAAAAAAGATCCTTACGAGATGTTTTGCATCTCAGTTTATAGATTTTGCTTACATTAAAGTGTTTTAGTGAAATGCAAAGGTGTTAAGTCATTTTTGCCCTGGCCTTTGAAATTATTTAGGAAAATTCTGTGGCATAAGCTTAGAGGCTTAGAAGCTTGGCCTAGAAATTTTGGGGGACAGGTATGAAGAAGTTAATTTTCATCAGAGTAAGTCCAGGTATATTCTCCATTCTATCCAGTGTAGTGTGCAATTTCAGTCTGTCACTGTGCTTCGTGTTGAGTGAAGCTTCACTGGTGTAGCATTATTCCCTGGTACCTCATATTCATTCTTCCTTTACATTCCTGCTGAACATGGCTGCCCCTCAGTGCTTCTGGAATAACTGCTTATGTCCAAAATATTCTTATTAAAGAGTTCAAAGAGTTAGTGTTAGAAGTGTTCAAACTAAGCTAGATTAGAGTGAACGAATCAGGTTAGAGAGTGACTACATGATCAAACAAATCTTGTGGGAGCAACACTGAACAGTTTTGAACAGTGGGGGATGGGAGCCTATTCAGCCAATTCAGTTGCTGCCAGAATGAAATGTGGCAGACAGAAATGCTTTAATGCTTAGCTTTTCTTCCTTTCTTTGCTTTTCCCAATATCTAGGATCCTGAAATTTTTACTCCTGATTCAGTCTACCAAGTTTCCCCAAAACAATTTTTCTCCAGCAGAACCTGTGTTCAGACTTGTAAGGCACATCCACGTGGTAGGTAAAAAACCCACCCAAACTAAATGTGCCCCACCACCTTCCCCCCAACACCGCCTCAGTAAACCAGCAATGAGTTGAAACACAGTCATCCTGGTGTCCTCAATTCACCTTGTTACTGCACCTCCAGTTGCTGCAGCACAGATGGGATGCAACATCTCCCACTGTTTGGGGACTGCCCCTAAAGGTGAGCCATATGTTTTGCAATACCTAGAAACAGCAGGATAAGATAAGGAAATCTCTACAGCCTTAAGGCAGAGTTGCTTTGATTTCACTGCTTTGTGCCCTGCCTCCTACCCACCCCCTCCTTTTTGCCTTTTTTTTTTTTTTTTTTTTATTTTTTTTTTTTTTTTTTTTTTTTTTTTTTTTTTTTAAAGAGCTTTTGTAATTTAATTTATCTCGGTTAAGCCTACAGAAAAAAAATAATCCAAACAAATACTGTGTGTGCATGTATGTGTGTAATGCCTCAGAAATCTCCTGTGTTATCTGTCTGTGTAAAATTTTACCTTCCACTAGACAAATATATTTTTAAACTGTGTGAAATCAAAACAACATTCTCAGCGTTCAAGACATTCTGTCATCACTGCCCATTTGTTGCCCTCTAGGTTTCTCTCAGCTGGCAAATTTCCCATTTAAGGAATTATCAGATTCAACCGCTTAGACAAGGCTGCAAAATAGAATGAAAAGCTGGCTTGTACTAGAGAACTCATATTTTTCTTTCAGGGCAGAAAACCCAGTGCATGAGAGCTGAACATTAACAGCAAATGGAATCAATCTCTCAGACTTCAAAGTTCTACCCCCCTGTACACTGTGAAATTTAGTTTTGAGTAAGATGCTACAATATTTATTTTACTTTTATAATTTACTTCTTTAAATATATTTAGTACCACTTATTATGTTAACCTGTTTTGAAGCCTTATATACTATGCTCATTATATGATGTTTATTTTTAAACTGTAGTTCTAGTAAGCATCTCGTGCATTCTGCTGTTTCTGTGCAATTTGTCACGAAGAATTACCAATTGCTTTGCTACCATTTTCCCTACTGCATATTTTTTGCAGGGTGAAAATGTGAAAAAAAAAAAAGAAAAAAGGGAGAAGTAGAAAAATCAATAAATTGACAGTTTTCCACAGCAAGATGGCTCAGGATTTACTTGAGTGATGGAGTAGCCTTGATGACAAAGGCTGTGCTGCAAAACCATGCTTGTGTTTCGGGGCCCGCTGGCTGCAGCACCAGGATTTCTGAAGGACATGCCATGGTTCCTAGTGCTGTAACCTTCTAAAGCTCCACACAACCCTTCGGTACTGACATGCTGCTCTTTGCCCCCTAGGCAGAAAGAAAACTGTGGTATGATCTGGAGAAATGTCTCAACACCAACCTTGCTCACTGAGCAGGTTGGTTTTGTTTCCTTAACACGGAGAAGTGAATTCACCAAAACTCCATCAAATTCTGGAATGGGTTTCATGTGCTGAGTGTGTACACAGGTGTAGGTGCACAAAGTTAAGCAGAAGATGAACATTAGAAGAGACATCCTAAGTGATTCTAAACTAATTAACATACCAGCAAACTCATTACTGAGCCAGACCTGCTTTATGGAGACTACTGCCATCCGGTATTGACACTAAACCACCATCTTATGATGTTCGCCCAAGTAAAAGTATTTTGAGGTGTTACATTATTTTAGCACAGTGATTAATCAATTTCTTTTTAGAGCATCCTCTGAGAGCTCAGAAATTCATGATTCACACTATTAGTATTCTGTACAGATTTCTGTATTCTTTGAGTGATATGATTAAATTTATCTGTGGTTGCTAATGGCCACAGTATGAGATATGAAAGCCACCATTCCACAAACACCCAATGGGCATCCTTAAAACATGCTGTGAATCCCAAAGAGGACTGGAAGTGACAAATCCTTTCTCTTTATTCTCACAGGCTATACACTGTTTGTGCAAAAGGCAGGCAGGATTGACTTGTGATGTAATACTGCAAATGGAACAAATAAAATACTCCATTATATTTGTCACATTTTAAGGCTGGAAATTAGTCCATAAACTCAGCTGGGTTCAGATCCTACTGACTCACATTTTACAAGATAAAAACTCATCCAAGCTTTCATGCTATGATATAAAGAATACCCAAAAGCATGATGAACTTGGAAAAATGTTCCAGTTCACCACTAAATTGAAAAGTTTTTATACTAGGCTTGAACAATCTTGATATTGCCTTATTTATTTAGATCACATGTTCTAGTAGTTCAGGCTTGGTCATCAAAAAACAGTGAGAACTACCCTTTGCTATTCTGGGCATAAAGTATTAAAAATTTATCAAAGAAATCAAAGTGACTGTCTAATAAGAGTGAATCCATCATCCATAGAAATTGCCAGACATACACACCTATAAATACATTTTGGGTTTACTGAACATCGCAAGATATAATAGCACATAGTCTGATTAAAAGCCAGTAGATAAATACTGAGCCATTCAAAATTACAATTCTTTCTAAAACCTGACATCATGCACCAAATAATTGTGAGATAAACTGTAACATAACAAAAACTGATACAAAGAGCAACATATCCTGGTATCTATCATCAAATAATTATAATACTATTATAAATACTATTAAAATACTATTATAATACTATTATAAGGTTCTAGAAATGTACACCATGGTTGATATCTTAGTAATTTTCTGTTGTGTGCACTGCAATGTATACTCTGCATTGCAATGAATACTCTGGAAGAACAAAGTTCTTCATTACCCACAAGTTAAATTATCTGTTTTTTGTCCTTTATTGTTTCTAGGAGCTGCTGAGATATTCAGAACTATGTAACTCTTTGCTCCAAAGGAGACATTGGTGTGACTTTTCAGAAACGCCACATTAAAAATAAGCCATCATAAAAATAGCACTGTATTGACTCTGTGACCCCAAAAATGTACTCTAGACTGTCACTACCATTAAAGGCAACAAATCTCTTCTAATTAATGGGTGATCAGTTTTTTGGGTACAGGAATTCCTCCATCAATGCATTTCCCTACCTTACTGTGAAAAGGGTGCTTAAATATTATCATCAGATGACAATGCAGACCCACCACAGGGCTAGTGAAGGGGCAATTCATTAGGAGTCTGCTGACAGATGCAAACATTCTGACAAATTCTGTAAAGCAGAAGCATGTCATTAATTTCAATATTTATTACTTTCCATGAAAGATAAGTGACTCAATATTGGGAAGGGTTTTATAAGGCCAATATTTCTTCTCTCTCCAATGCTTTTTTGCTTTGTGAGGTACCTGCCTATTATGAGACTAACTTATTCCAAAGAACAAATTAAGCAGCAAGACACGACAAGCAGTGCATTTGTATGCAATTTGCTTACCACCTGAGGCATGCCAACGGCTCAAGGCCAAAGGCTGAGCAGCTCCAGCCATTCAATAAATGCAGTAATAATCAAACTGAATGCACAGCACTGGGGAACTTATTTCTAGTACAATATGGAATGTCTACATAGAACCAAGTGTGTCTGTGCACTTTGTGACTGTCATTAAAGAAACTATTCCACTGAGAAACTTATTCTAACTGCCATCCTGAAAATACTATCCAAAACAAATGAAATGTAGAGGTTTATATACCATATTCTACAACCAGAGAATCCTTGTGAAATGACACCCTGGACTGGGGGTCCATTATCAGGTGAAAAATATCCATGCAAACCATATATATCCATTTATCTATCTATAAATATTAAAGGACACAACAGCACAGGGCAGAGCAGAAAATCAGTCACTCTAGAGATGCAGCAGTCTCTGCTATCCTGATCATGTAGCAATTAATTAAGGTCTAGCTGTGGAAGCAACAAAGAATTAATTTAAAATAATTTATTTTTTCTAACAGCACTACCTCATCTCATTCTGAAGAGACCATGCACAGATATGGGCTGTGCTCATTTATTTTGCTGCTCCAGCTTTAATGAGTAAAACAATGACATTATTTAGGTCCCCGATCCATTTGCCAGTCACAGTAAAGTTCATCTCTTAAATAAACAGTGAGGCAAGCTGGCTTTAATTTGTACTCACATACCAACAATCGATTTTCCCCATAAACTCGGTCTCTTTTTGCTCTGCCTTGTGACTACACAGTCGGATCCAATTTAACCCTGCTGCAGAGAGCTGCCTTCCTTCTACATTTCTAAAACTGCCCAAGAATTAGCACAACTGAGAATAAAAGATGTGAAGATCAACTAATGAGGTGGAATGACTGGGCAATAAACTGTTTTACAAGAAAGCACAGCACTTGTTTCATTCTGACATCTTCATTCTGCTCCAATGAATCTTAATCTGTAAGGAGGAACTGTTTTTAAAGACAAAGAAGATGATTAAGATGATAATAATAATAATAATAATTATTATTATTATTATTTAAAAACCTGAGAACAAGCTACTGGATCTTCTTTTCCCATCTTTTCTACCCTACTTCCCCCAAACAAGGGAAAAAAATCTATCCATAATTGAAAACTGAATATGAACCTAAATAAAACCAAAACCCTTTAAACATCAGCACACTGATAGTTTTTGTGTTATTAGCAATGAATAATATTACATCCAAGGTCTCATGTGTTAAAGACAGAAGCATACTGCTCTGGGACAGGCTGCCATTGCTCCCAATGCTGAACTACAAATGTTATTAAAAATCCAAACAAGGCTATTTTTACTTTCTGATTTAAGAAGTGACATTCTATTAAGATGTTTCTTACAGTTCAGTCCAGACGAAATGTAACTCACAATCTCATATTAGATTATCTGTTATTTATGTTCCAATTTACACATCTTATGAAGCATTTTAAAGATTATGTATGTCTCGCAAAACACAATTTTGCATAATATACACAATATTTTAAATTATTTTAAATACAAATTAAAAATTAAACAGACTTACTACAGGAAGTCAAACACCCACTTCGGCCAGTATCTCTTCTTTAACTTGACAAAAGTAGCTATCTAATGAACAATGTATGAATGAAGCAGACACAGAGGTATTCTCCCAGTCCCAACAGCCTACAGCTCCGGGACCTCCTCATGATCCCAGTACTGAGATTCACCAACACATCTTTCAGATGAATACTAATGCAGAATAATGCTGCAAATTTGTGGAAGGCTTCATTGGCATGTTATGGCAAAAAGTACCTGTGATTTTAGGGATCTCAGCTCTATCTGCTAAATACAACAGTGTCCTTAATTTTTCTATGTCTTTTTCCAAGCTTGAAAAAGATTTTATCAACTCCTTTTGAACCCAGCCCCAATTGAAAACCATACAAACATGTAAATATTTCTGTAATAAATTTGCACATTTAAGCTATTCATGAGAACTGGGGATTTTCACAACAAATGTGAAATATTCATATACATCTAGAGGTGACAGATCTATAAACAAATAACCAGAAAAATACTCTTGCCTGTCTTCCTTTTTGAAAATCTGACTTTAGGAATATTGTGCCTCTGGTAAAATGGTGTTCTTTTCATGGGAGTACAATCACTTGGCATTGTGCCTAAGAACATACCCCAAGAATGGAGTTATTTTGAGGACAAGCCCATCACTCACACATTCTCCAAATGTTCAGTCTTTGGATTTCTATGAATTTCCTTCAAGCCAGGAGGAGAGAATTGCTGTGTTACTACAGAACAATTCTTATATTTTAGAGATGAAGTACCAATGACTTATGTTACAGCTGCTGCTGCTGCTGCTGTGCTGTCTTCCACTTTATTGGAGCTGAATAATTAAACACCCTGTAGTCCCTGTGACAGTCCTGGACTCAGCATGGCTGTTAATCAATATCACATAAAAGGGAATTAGGCTTCGGCAACTGTTGCACAAGGCAGGATGGATAAGACAAGATGGAGAGAGATCTTCTCTTTCACACAGAGGACTAATTTTCTGCATTTTTCAAGTCTTGAGAATAGACAATACATACACAGATATGGGGAATCCAAATTAATCTCAGAGATTTGTTACACCATAATGGCAATCAAAAGTCACTTCCATTCTTTCCTAAATCTATTCTTTACATTTTTTTGGGATTGAAAAAAAACCCCTCGGCACCAGCATATTTAAAGTACTCAGTTTATAGGGAGAATTTAACTGCATGGAACCAGTTCTGAGAATTCTACCATATGATTGCAGACAGAAAAAACAACAGGTATTTAATAAACACTATCTCAATTCTGCTCCGTGCAAAATATTTAGGAACACTTGTGTTTCCAACAGTTTGAGGAATAATTTTTCTAGAATCTCTAAAAACTGTCCACAAGTTATGTATTTTTTCATTATGTTCTTGCTCTCTAATGAACCAATAGGTTATTAATATCAACCTTAGGCTGAGAAAAACCAACAGAAGATTCACATGAAGAGGTGCAGATTTCCCCGATGCTGCCCTGCTTGGCATTCACCTCTTCCCAGAGAAAAGGTGACACAGTTCCCAAGTGTCTTCAACAACTCTTCCTTTCTGATGAAAGTGAAATATGCCATATTGAATTTAGAAATACCTCAAGCTTCCTACTATGCCAGGAAATGAACGCAAAAGTCAAATAGGTAAATTTCAGGTGGTTATATAAATTAATTAATAGTGAAGATGACACCGTCTACGTCATTGACGTAGAGGAGGAAGACTTCATGTACTCTTTACACTCCTCTGCTATGGGTGGCCTCTGATTTTTTTGTTTAAAAACCTAGTGTGTTTATACAACACACTAATTCAACTTTAACCCATGCACATTGTAAAAAACTCTGAGTAAAGAGGAATAGTCAGCGATTCAAATAGAAAAAGCTTACAAAGTAACTGATTACTCTTGATACTGTATTTCCTGAAATGTTTCACTGAAATTCAATTTTGCAAAAAGCAAGAACAGTGTTTTCCCTCCAATCCTATTAGTAACATGAAAAGAACAGGCATGTTTTAGATCTAATTTATTACTTATTCAATTTGTTTTCTATCTCACCAAGATTTGGTTCAAGCTTCAGAAAGTGTGCTTCAGTTAGCACCTCCCTCAAAACGATCCAGAAAACATATTCCACACATGAATCATGGAAAGAACAGCAAAACAGCTTCCAACCAACCTGGGCTTTTCCAGCTTCTCCAGCAGCTTCCCCGGGAGCGCTGAGGCCGAGGAGGGCTGGCCAGGCTCTGGCTCTCAGGGGAGCGATGCTGGAGCGGCCGGCCGCGGCTCTGTGCCCGGCCCAATGCCCAGCGCCACCCACCCCTTCCGAAGGGTGCGAACCGGGTCCTGCTCCTCTTATCTGGCTCTCCCAGAGCTCGCCAACATTCAGCCAACACCCGACATGCTTTGTGGATCTTGGCCAAAGTATCCTGGAGCTGTACAGCCATTTACAACACTGATATTTTCATTATTCTTTTCAGCGTTTCTTACTGAAACACTGATTACCCTATAATGAAATACAATCTTTACATCAAGTTAATACTGCAACTTGCTTACCATGAAGCTGTGTCACATACACATCGAAGGAAGAATGTGTGCTAATTACATTTACTATTTACTATTACATTTACTATTCTTACACGTAATTTAGCTGGAAAATAATGAATGACCCCTTCTTATATACATGGCCGTAGTTTTTTTTTTTTTTTAATGGTAATTTAACTTCAACTAAAATGGGGGAAAAAAAGAGAAAAATCCATGTTATAAACACAATAGGATCTTTTCAAACAGTGTTTTACCAGTTAATAAAGGTTTATGAAAAACATGCATGATCATGTAAACTATTCTACATTTTGAACCAATTCAATACATACAAAAGAAATTATCTATAATTAGAGAAAGTGAGTATTTCTGGTCCCTGTGCCATCCAAGACTTCAAAACCAGCAGATCTCAGCCCTTCCTTCTTGGTTTTCTAATGAAATTACTAACAGAGAGAAAGCAGGGGCTTTCCTGACTAGTAATCTCCCAAGCAGTTTCTCATCTTTTAGCTT